CTGTGAGGAAAGGCTGAGGCAGCTGGGACTGTTCAGCCTGGAGAAGAGAAGGCTCAGGGTGGGGGGAGATCTCATCAATGGATATAAATACCTGAAGGGAGGGTACAAAGAAGATGGAGCCAGGCTCTTCTCAGTGGTGCCCAGTGACAGGACCAGAGGCAGTGGGCACAAACTGAAACACAGGAGGTTCCCTCAAACATCAGGAAACACTTTTTCACTCTGAGGGTGACCAAGCACTGGCACAGGTTGCCCCCGGAGGTTCTGGAGTCTCCATCCTTGGAGATATTCAAAAGCTGCCTGGACATGGTCCTGGGCAGCTGGCTCTAGGTGGCCCTGCCTGAGCAGGGGGGGTTGGACCAGATAGCTTCAGAGGTCCCTTCCAACCTCAACCAGTCTGCGATTCTGTGATCCTATTACAATTTGTAGGCTCTACATCCCAGCATACAGTTGAAATTTCAAGGAGATCATGATGTTTCTGACAGATTCCTTCTTTGATAACAGGACCATACTTTCAGATGAGACAAGATGTCAGAATGTGGCTCATTCAAATGACTTTTACTGGAATTATAAAGGTGGCAATGCAAAATTGCTCTATTCTAGACAGGTTTCAGATAGGCTATGCTTTTCACACTACTGTTAAAACTCGAGTGCTAGGGCATATAGAATGGTGAAACAGGTCCAGATTTATCTGAATTGTGCCACTACTTTTTGCTATGTGGAAAGTGTTATATTTAGGTCAGTTTGCAGTTAGAATTACTTCTTCAACAAGTGGGTCAAGGCCTTGTTTGGAGTATATCTTACAACTTCAATATACACACACAAATCAATGAGTCTTGTAAGGAAGGAATCCTAAATTGTCTACAGATAGCTAGCTTAGAGCAGGATTTGCAACTGCTTCTCAATTGTCTGGGCCCAGAGTGCACCAATAGGCATTAATGGTTCCTGAACTCTAAGCTGAGCTCTGTGTTTCCCCCTTCCCCATGGGACTTGCTGCCATTCACAGTATGGCTGTGAACGGACTTAAAAGCTGATCCTGTCTTTTTGATGTTGGTGAACCTGTGGCTATGGAGAACCTTGGAAATGCTGGTTTAGAGTTTAAGTGCACCTCATCAATGAAGTCTGCAGAAACATGTCTACATTGCATCCTCAGGGTATTTCATTCCAGACTACCTGTGATCTTCCCAGGTAATAAATGATTTCCAATGTGGTGAAGAAGGAATAAAACATTTTAGCCTTTATGCTGACCAGTAATAAAAGCATTTTGTATCCTTATCTGGTCTGATTCAGGCTGGAGTTGCAGCTTATATGTAAAGATTTTCCCAGAGAAAATAAACTAAATGGATTTGAATGAATAGCCTGAAGGTACAGCAGTCTCAGATGTGTGACTCTAGTCAACTTAATGACATCTGATGTTGAACTGCATGAGTTTATGAAGCTCTTCATTTATCTGCCTGGCAGAGGCTTTTTTATACAGCTGGGGAATTGATTGTTGAAGTTGCCAACAGTGTTATACCAGAGATTTAAATGCTCATTAAAATCAGGGGTAGTTCAATAATTTACTACTTTCAATCAGGTTTAGATGAAATTCTCATTGTTTTTAATTTTGCCTGTGAGCCTGAGAAATCATGCTGATAATGGATTTTATTAATGAAGAATGCGACAGTCTCTACTGGAGGCTAAAGTGGTGACAAAAAGCTCTTTAGACAGAATAATGCCACAGCTTCTCTACATTCTTCTTCTGGAGAAGGAAAGGCCTCATCATTACATTGCATCTTCTCCCTTTGTGTTTGTTCCCTATAAAGGAGCCCTATTCCTCCATAAGTAAAGAATGCAGTATATATATATATATGTATAGATTAGAGACAGCCAACATGGTTCACCAAGCACAAATCATGCCTGACTAATCCAGTGGCCTACTACAATAGAGTGACTGCATCAGTGAAGAAGGGAAGAGCTATGGATGTCATCTACCTGGACTTCTGTAAGGTCTTTGATATGGTCCCCCACAACATTCTTGCTGTTAAATTGGAGAGATATGGGTTTGATGGATGGACTGGTAGATGGATAAAGAATTGGCTGGATGGCCACATCCAAAGACTTACAGTCAACGGCTTGATGTCCAAGAGGAAACTAATAACAAGTGGTGTTCCTCAGGGGTCCACAGTGGGACCAGTACTATTTAATATCTTCATCAGTGACACAGGTAGTGGGATTGAGTGCACCGTCAGCACGTTTGTGGATGACACCAAGCTGAGCGGTGCAATTGATCTCTAGAGGAAAGGGATGCCACCCAGCAGGACCTTGACAGGCTTGTGCAGTGGGCCAGTGTGAACCTCATGAGGTTCAACAAGGCCAAACGCAAGGTCCTGCACCTGGGTCGGGGCAACCCCCAGTGTCAATACAGACTGGAGGATGAATGGATTGAGAGCAGCCCTGTGGGATACCGGTGGATGAAAAATGGGACGTGAGCCAGCAATGTGCACTTGCAGCCCAGAAAGCCAATCATATCCTGGGCTGAATCAAAAGCAGCATGGCCAGCAGGTCAAGGGAGGTGATTCTCCCCCTCTACTCTGCTCTTGGTGACACCCCACCTGCAGTACTGTGTCCAGCTGTGGGGTCCCCAGTATGAGAAAGACATGGACCTGTTGGAGCAGGTCCAGAGGAGGGCCATGAAAATGATCCGAGGGCTGGAACACCTCTCCTGTGAGGAAAGGCTGAGAGAGTTGGGGTTGTTAAACCTGGAGAAGACTCTGGGGAGACCTTATTGCAGCCTTTCAGTACTTAAAGGGGACTTATAAGAAAGATAGGCACTTTTTACCAGGCCCTATAGTGACAGGATAAGGGGCAACAGTTTTAAACTGAAAGTGGGTAGATTTAGATTGGACATAAGGAAGAAATTTTTCACAATGAGAGTGGTGAGATACTGGAGCAGGTTTCCCAGAGAAATTCCCAGGATGCTCCATCATTGGAGGTGTCCAAGGTCAGGCTGGATAGGGCTTTGAGCAACCTGATCCAGTGAAAGATGTCCCTGCCCATGACAGGGGGTTGGACTAGATGAACTTTTAAAGCCCCTTCCAACCCAAAGCATTCTATATCATATCATGTTTTGCCAAAATATGGAAAATGTGGAGATAGGTGATCAGGTTAAAAAACTTCACAGTGAACTGAGAGAGAAGTTCAAAGCATCGTGGGTATACCTACATGGCATCACACATGAGCCAAGTATATTCACACAGCTCAGATATAGGCCAGTATAACCTGCTTCTTATGTACAGTTAATTGGATTACAGTTATTCTCTCATTGCCTTCAAATTAGAAACTTTTCTGATCTCTTTTTGTGGAGGTCTTCTGCTCTTACTGCCCTTTTACAGTGCCTTTCATGATACTGTACGTTTCTGAGACTCCCAAATAAATGACAGCTTTTTTCCCCCCAGAAGCTTTACACCAATTAAACAGCAGAACTCCCACTCGGAGGCGAGGATACATCCTGATATTGGAGGAACTGATGTTCACCTCTGAATTTTACAGTCAGCTGTTTTGCATTTTAACCTATTCCATGACACAAACAGTAACAAAAACATTGTTAAGTGATACGTGTTCTCTCAGAAGTCTGGTGTAACTATCTTGTCCATAAGCAGAGCTAGATTTTCTCATTAAACGTTCTTATAAACAGTAAACGTGGTTCCTTGAAGCAATAAGACTTCTTTAAACAAAGCAAGGCACAAGCAGAGGTGAGGCAGGCACATTCCTACCACTATTGTCTTAAAGCAGCAATGCTGACAGCTGCAAAAGTAGCCAAACAAACCACGAGTAGAATTTCTAAATCATACTTTCTTGGGCTGACAGCTGTAACATCCCACTGTGGAAAAACTGCACCTGTGCAATTAGCAAGACTACTGATAATCAAACGAAGGAAGAAAACAGCACATGGCCTTCAACTGTGTCAAGTGGGTGCAGGCTCAGAATACAAGAGGCTAAAAATAAGTCATTACTCAAGCTCTTCTGTGTTAGATGTTTTCAGGTCAGCTCAGATAAGACTGGATTCCTGCATTTTTTGCTAATGAATAACTGATCAGAAAAAGCACAGACCCAACATCTGGAGATCAACTGTGAACACTTCAGAATTCAGTCAGGACTTTTAGTTCAGGACCACTTCTAATACAAAGGCATTAGTGTTACAACCAAGAAATATGCAGCCAGGTTCTCTTAGCAATCTAGGCCAGACTTTCAGGTAATCTGGCAATATATTGAAAATAATATCTGGCAAAACTAACTTTACTGGCAAACCAACCCCTTTAATCCTTGCTCTTGAATGCATTTCTTTTCCACAGGTGTGAACGGATAAAAGTTAATCAGATTCTTTTCATGGGACGTGGTTATATTCCCTTAGCACTATGTTAGCAATTTTTTGGCAGACTAAACCTTAGTTTTTAGCAATGGGGGCTAACTTTGCTGTGGGTTTATTGCTATGTTCTTTCCCATTTTCATTTGTTACCAATTTGCATGCTGCCTTCTTCCTTCTCAATAACCAGAGCTCTAGAAATTCTGTGGAAGGATTGATTTAATTTGTTGTCTGACATTTTAATATCACCCTTAGACTATGGTACAGAGAATTAAAAAAAAAAAATCTGTCAAATAAAGCATACAAATTGATGATTAGAAACAAGGCAGAAACCTCCATGCATTTGGCCAAACATGAAACTGGAATAAAAAGAGAGAAAGGAACCTGATATCTGCTTCCAACAATAGTCTGCATCCTCACAAAGCCATGGAGTCACTTGCCCTTAAAAAGACCAGACTACAAAGAGGGCATAACACAGCAGCATGGGAAAAGTAAATTCCATCTCTGTCAGCCAGTCTACCTGTTCCCCTTAAGTGGTGATGTTGAGGCTGCTCTTGCAAGGGTTTCTGTGCAAATTCAGACCCAAACTAAGCGAACATCCTGCAAGCAAGGAAAACTTGCACAGTTGGAGAGAAGAGGGCCTCTGCAGACTTCCTACCGTGTGAAGTGATCATATTAAGTTCTCAGTTCAGGTCTATGAACGTTGTCCATGAAGAATCCACCTTATGAATCCCAGGTGTCTCCAGATGAGAACTGAATCAGACCTTCATGCTTGAGGAAATATCTTAGATCTGACATTGCTGGCTTTAATCAGCAATTGGCAAGTTCATCTGCAAATGAAACTATGTTGGCTCATTGCTCATCTCATGAACTTTGAAACATCCTCAGACATACTAAATTATGTGTTTAATATGTTCAAATTGTTAATATGCTCTTATATGTTCATATGGCACAAAAATTCTTGCTTTAGAAGAAGTAGATCAGCACGGCTATCTAGCCTGGGTACGGTGTGCCAGTCTAACTATTCTGCCCTGGTTCCTGACTTGTTTTGTTCAAATCTAACCCAGAAACTTTTGAACAGTGCTCCATTGCTGTTTGTTTGGGTTTTTTTGTTGTTTTTTTTTCCCCCATTAGATTGCACATAAAGAAATATTTGATGCTTGAATTTAATCTGAAAACAACCTGTGATTGAAAAAAAATTAAAAAAATCTAATCCCATTCAGAACACCAGTCAATATGCTTAATGGAAAAGTATAAGCTGGTTTTCTCAGGAAGATGAGAATATTACTGATCTGCTGGTTTAATCTTTAAATAGATATAGTGGACTGTTAAAGAACCTTTTTAGAGGTATCAGTCTGAAAGAACCAATTCGGTCATCCTTGTGAACTCTGCTGAGATTCAGGAAATACAGAAGGGCACTGAAAGCAGGAAAAAGCAATAATTTGCTGTGAAGAACAAAACAGAGTCTATTATTATATCTCTCTTGGCATGAGGTGCATTTCTAGAAAAGCTCATTGCAGTTTCCAGTTATATAGATACCTCTTATCCCATACATGTAAATAATTCAGAGAAATATTGGCTCAAACCTCTTTGGAGGCTCAGCACTGAAAATTACATCTGTTGATATCTGAAAGCACAATAAAAATAAAATAGGAGTGGAAGGGTGGAGCTATCATAGGTAGCCATATATCAGAAACAGGTTTATTTATTTATATTTAGGTAATGGAAAAATACCCTTTCAGCTTGAGTGGATGTGATGCATACAGACGTTAGGAGGTTACTGTTGTCTACCTGTTTGCTACCTTTCCCCAAAAGTTACTGCCTCTCCAGCAGAGCTGCTTTGTAGTCATCTGTGCACTCTTCTCCCACATCAGCACAAAGCCAACAAGTAATTCAGCTATCTTCATTGGTACTGAAAGTCTAACCCTTACTCTACAATCACATCCCTGTGAAATTCTAATGGGCCTATCACTTGTGAACCAAGTATTAATCCTTAGCTTTCATGTATGGTTACATGTTTGGGAAGTATTTTTAAATTATAGACTGTAAATTATTGCAAAGTGCCTTAGTATTCCCAAAACTATGCTAAATATATTTATTTTGGTAGAACTTTTTAAGTGGTATGTTGTGCCAAGTGCTCAATGATTAAATATTAAATACACATTCACACATCTCAGGTTGAGCCTGTATGAATGGAGGTGCAATTTGACTCTGTTCTGCCAAATAGGAGTTGCATTACAGCTTAACATTCAAGATTGCTAAATCCCTTTGCTTGGTAACAAGAACCATGTGACACTGCACATAATCATTAAGAATGTAGCATGGTTGGATGTCCTTTTAACAGTAATTTGAGGAACATGTTTTAAATGGTAGGGTGTGGCTAAATTCACATTTAACTGCCATTTTAATTATTTTGCGTTTTATTAATTGCTCACAGATTGATTCAAATTTAATTATTACTATTTGGATGAACCTAATTAGTTTTTAATGCCTGCTTAATGGTCTTGCCTGATGATTTTGACCTGCTGGCCATTCTGCATGCTCCTGTTTCAACTGAATTAGAATCAGGCCTTTCTTATAAAGTGAATAATTTGTGAGAATAACCTTTGCATGGTTTCATTTTCACATTGTAGATCTGCGTGTCCCCTTATCAGCCTGCTCAGTTACTATGTTTTTACAGCCAGGAAGCTATTCAAGGTGCAAGTATGGCCACCCTTTGATGCTCGTGCTGTCTATTTGCCTTAGTTTTCTCCCTCACTGAGGAATTACTGTGATGCCCACTGAAACCAGGATCAAGGTTGACCTATCTGGTGATTCTCTCTCCTACACAGCTCAAGAGGAGGTTGATAAAAGCAAGTCCTCAAGGAGTAAAACCAGGCTCCATATGGTCCTTTTCAGCTTGTTGAAGTACAGGCAGGCCAGTCACTTGGCCTGCAATGATCAGAGCAGAGGGAAAGGTAGAGAATTACTCTTATCTGGTGGAAGCAGCAAACAGGGAAATGTCAGGTATCTGTTTACATGTTCCTGGTAAAGCACTCAGATGAGAGACTGGAAGGTAGGCTGTGGAGTCATTGTTTGTAAAAGCAGTAAATCCTGCTGGGTACTGTTTTGCTTTGCAACATCTAAGTTTCCTATGTAAGTCTGTCTTGTTGCTGCTGAAACTCCAGAGAACCCAAATTGTCAGGCAATCAGGAGGAAATTATGGCCATGGGGAAAGCAAAACCAACTAGCACAAGGATCCTTCCTGGGCTGATTAATGACTTGTAGCAATTACTCACTTCATACAAATGCTCACAGGATATTAGAAGTGAGTATTTTCTAGTTCTACCAGATTTCAGATAAGCAACTGCTATATTCTACAGGCAGGAAATTAACCCTTAAGCTTGAGTTGAAAGTAAACTATATATTTGAATAAAACATGTTACTCTTATTTTGCTGCAACAGAGTAGTACAGGCAAAGGGACTTTGCTGGATGATGCTGGACAAATAGCAGCATCATTAACAGGTATAATTTTGTTTCAATTAACTTATGGGTCTGATCCTGACCTTAGACTGGGCAGAACCAGCACTTCCTGCATAAGTCCTTATGCAGGACTGCTAAATGAGGCTCTGCGTGCCTCCAAACAGGGTCTGATTTGACTACTGAACTATTTTGTATCAATGTGGCACCAGTGTCTCTCCTGATGCTCTAGAGTGAGTGTGACAAGGAGAGGAATCAGCCCAAGAAACACTGCTGAAAGATATTAAACCTAACTTCTAACACTGGTTATTCCCAGTATTTACTTCTAAAAGAGAAAAATGCAGCTAACTCAGTATACATGCTACGCAGCCTCTGCCAGCAACTGTCAGACAGACGCTTCATGTTTCTGCATTTTCAAGCTTTTCTTGCACTTTTTGTCTCCATTTGAACACTTCTGAGACACCTAAAGGAGTGCCTTGAGTGACTTAAGTCTGAGAATCAGATACAAACCAGAAGCTGATAATTTCCTTGCAATGTCAGTACAGTCAGGTCTTACAGCTGACACTGAGGGATTCCGTGGTGTTTTCTGAGCTGTTCTTTCATCACTGCTAAATTTTCTTACTCTAGATTTCAGTTTTTCTGCAACTTCAATCAAAAGTTTAGTTTTATTTAATCTGATTCCTCAAAACAAAACATTTCTCACTATGTTGCTCTTTCCCTGAACAACGAAATGCTTCCAGAGCTCTAACAGAAAATTGAAATTGGAATCTGACTACTGTGATCATTTAGGTAGCTTATTGATAGATGGCTGGCTAGTGTTGTCTTCTGCAGCCAGAGTTCGACTTCAGAGCTGGAATGTAAGGAGAGAGGAGGCAAAAAGGAAGCAGGAGGCAGTATACAGAGAAAGGCAGAGAAAGGGGGGAGTCATGGTTGGGAGGAGCTATGATGGTACTCAAAAAAGCACAGCTGTATCTTGTGATGTTCAATTTGGGATCAAGCATTTCATTTCTAATACAGCCCAAAAGGTAATTACTCAACTTCTCTTTTATTGCAGCTCTCACAATCTCACATTATTTTACTGCTCTTTCTGATATTGACTGATACCAGACCCACAGGAGCAGCTGAAACATTTGGATCAATGCCAACTCAGACCTGTTACAACCTATGGCTTGTCTTGCTTAGAAGAGATTTAAAAAAAACAAAACAAAACAAAAAAAACCCAGAACAGCTCCCCAAGAATGAAAAGCACATCTGGATGCTGAAAATTTAATAATACAGGGACAATATTAATTTATACCAGCTAAAGATGATATAATGGATATGGGTCCCATTTGCTTCACTGGGCTCTGAATAGCATAGCAGCACTGGCAAGTACAATTCTCTGAAAAGTACCTCATTAGCTCTGTCAGCCTGCCTCAGCTGCTACAGACCAAATCCTGGAAAGAAATGCCACTGAACAGAGGAGTTGCTGTTGTCTACCAGATAGAAAATTTACCCCAGGCTGGACCAGAAACAAATAATAAACTATTTCGTATTCAGAAGCAAAAAAAAAACCCCAAACCCTAGACTTCTAGCCTCATGCTATTTAATCTTTATCTTAATTTTTTAAAAAATAAAGTAAATTCATCGATGATATAACTCCATTGAAATTATTGCCTGAACCCCAGCCCTAGTTCAGTCTTGAACCTGAAATCAAGGGAGTATGGACAGGGAGAAATTTCATTCTGCTGGGCTATCAAACATTGCTGGTGCCAATTTAAAATAGAGGATTTACCAACTGCTGTAGCATCCACTGAACATGCTTAAATGAGATTTCTTTGTGAGGAAACTTTTTCCAGAGTCTTCTAAGATTTACAAAACTGTTCTTTTTTAGCATCACTACAAAAAACTTTTGAGACTAGACATTAACTTTAGATTTTTTTTTTTGCCCCATATTGCAACAAAAATAATAGGCAGTCACTTCATGAGTCATTTGTTTATCTCAGTGCCTTTGAAGCATGGATGTGATCGTGAACATTAACATGTTTTCTGAAGCAGAAAAACATTAAATAACCAAAGACCTTTAGCAACCTCTAGCGATATCAAGTAAGATGATACAATATCGCTCATATAACTTGATCTTTTCACTTGGGTTTCCAGTAGATAGCACCTAAATTCTGCTAAAATCACAGACTTATTCTAGATCTGTACTACTTCAAGGGCTGAAGTTGGTTCACATGCTATAGTAGGGCTCTGCTTTCATTCTCACACCCAGAAAGAGGGGACAGCTGTCAGACATACCTGGCACCTAGAGGCTGCCACTGTTACATGTATTATCAGACCTTCAAAAGACAAAAGTGCCCAAGATAATGACTACTTCAGCAAACCTGG